ATAAGACATTATAGTACAAAACAAATGTATAACTCTCTCTCAGCAATAAAAATAAGAAAATATATATATTTTAATTATTACTAATGTATTGCAATGCAACTAATTAAAATTGAAAGAAATTGCAATATAAAGTATTCCATCAGTGACACTTCTCGAGGGTGTATTTATATACGAAAATATTTGTTCACAGTTTTATAAACTGGCTTTGCAATTCCCACCACCAATAATTGATAATGTGTACATATTTTAATACATACCCAGGTACACTAACACAAATGAAATATTAAGAGCAAATGTCTGTAAGAATCCAACAATGGTGGCAGGGGTCAAAAAATAGATTTGGCTCATATTTTGCACAGTGATAGTACTTGGTCCACATTCCTTCAAAATAGCTTTTTTTTAGATCAAAACTCCTTGTTGTCATGGTAACGGGCAAACAAAGTTTTCTGGCCATCTCCTATTTTCGCATCTCAAAAACACGGAAATCAGCATATTTTATGGCACTGTCTCGGCAACACCTTTAAACCTACCATAAAAACAAAACAAAATCTGAATAGACCAACATTTTGGCTTTTTCAAAATTGTTGTGCAATTTCCAAAGACATACATTTTAGTTCTTCAGCAGCCTGAAAACAATTAGATGTTTCAAGTTTCAAAAAAAAATATTTTTGGCCCAAATTTGTAACGCTATAAGTGCCGCTCTGGTATTTTTTTGGCTTGAAACTTGTACCATATATAGATAATTGGAACATCTATCAAAAGCATTTTTGCAAAATTTGGTACCTTGTTTTGTTGTCTCGTGACTGCCCCTTAAATTAGGTCACTTTTTGTGTGTTGCGAAAAATGTGAACTTTAGCTATGTTCAAAGTACGCTACATGACGAAGTTAAAATATATTTCTAATTCAACTTATTATCAAAGGTGAATCTATGTATTGCCTATCAAATGTATGCTTGCAGAGTTTCGGGTCATGACGTTCGGTCACGTGGTTGTCCCTGGTCAAATTCTATAAATGATTAAAGTGTGTGATATATGCTTGCATTACATTACATTACCAAACTGTTTCAATTGTATAATTTCTATTATTTTGAGCAAGTATAAGGACCCGTACTGGGATATAGTCGTCCTACCCCAATAGACATCCATGTTATAACACGAATAGACTGCCAGGCCCATGTGGGTCAACCCAAGATAGAAACCGACAAGACTTAGCCTACATACGTCCGTCAAAATTGGCAACACTTTGCAAATCAAAATCGAAATTAATTGGAAAGAGAGTGTATTGGGACGAACGTGAATTAGGGCGAAAGTGAATTGGGACGAATTGACTGATTCCTCATGTAGACTCGACATACGTGTCCATACGATATTTGGCTGGTAACTAACTTTGTGTGATTCCAAGGAAGTATATTACATTGTAATTGGAAACATTCAGAGACTTGATTTTTAATAAGACACATGCAGCTGAATAAATCAATAGAAATCTTTACTGATTTGGAACTATTTCATGTTTATTTCAACAAGGGAGCTTTTGCCATTTTGCTTCACTGGGGATTGATTTAACTTTATAACAGATAGTCATTTTAATGCGTTTGGCTAAGCCATGTATAGTTTCCAAATGCATCAACATGTATACACACGCCTACACCGAAATAACTAGTGTAGAGAAATCTTTACAGAGAAGAACGAATGAAAGTTATTATTCATTATTTATTGGAGATTTCCAATATTAGTGAGGTCTGATGCTGTTCGGCCGGCGAAGGCCTACATGTCAGGCTAATATCCACTTAGACGAAGCGATCTCTATGACGACTAACAAATCACGACAATGCTCTCTATACATATTATTATACATCTGTCACCGTCCTGGCACAAGTTACAACGTACCGTGATTTGAGGTATTGCACTGGGTATTTTCATCCAACCATCGTAGGTAACGCAAATTCAAGATATCGCACGATTACGGGCGTAAGCATCCTTTAAAGGGCGGTGGTCGTCGCCACCGCGTCCTGTTCAATATGGGACTCATAGCGACGTATACAACGCGTGTAAAATACATTGTTTATTTACATGAAATTCGAACACGCGCTGAGCGACGACTACCGCCCTTTAATAATAACAAAAAACATGGCTGCCCCCAGGGTTTGACCGAACCCTACACAAAGAAGTTCGCTAAATCTGTTCTAAACGTTTTGGACTATTACGATGGTACTGTATGCACTCACGCAGCACGCAGTCACATCGACCTCCGCTGCTCGTCGGTCGATACTTCCGCTGTACTGTCTTCGTGCACAATTCGTAGTATCCTTGGTATAACCTCATACTATGACACGGGAAAGTTGTCAGTTATTTACGTAGTTGTTCTGGTTGTTAGAGTAGTAGTCGATACTGTGCCTTCAATTTCACAGGCATATCTTCTTAAGCCAGAACACTCTCTGTCATCCCAAAGACCAGTAGTACGGCCCATCTGAACGCATTTATCAGCAGTTCCTCCATTGGGTTCTATGGGTGTATTCCAATTAAAATATGTTACGCTTGTTCCATCTGCGTAGGTATAACCTGTTGAGAGCTGCATAATTATGAGAACGATAATGTGGTATTAATTGTTTTTTTCAATGATTTAATATTTTGTAATCAATGTTACTGAGCCAAGGTGAGCTTTGAACAAATGGGGTGCAATTGCAAACAACAACTAGACAACAGGAAATGCAAAGAGCAACCAGACAGTAGAAAT